CGCTCCTCTGTGGCCAAATCGGTTTAGGCACTTCAAGCTAAATGACGGTTCCGTATAGGATACAGGTTCGAATCCTGTCGGAGGACGAATATTTCTGTGAAAATTTCTCGGACATTCAGGCCGGTAAATGTTCTTTAATACAGTTTATTATAAACAGAGCATTTACTTCAATATTATATCTATAAAAAGAATGTATAAACATAAAAATATCTTAAAATAATTGTCGGACTTTGTCCATTTCATTATATATATATATATATATATAGATATATAGATAGATAGATTGTGTTTATTTAGGCAACAATCTAAGCTTTCGACAAACTCGCGTGGTCATGTGTGACGTCACGTGCTGCGACACGATATTCGCTTCCGCGTCTCATATACACGGGTTTGTGGTTGCTTTGAAATTTTTCATGCAGCAAGGGCGGACTATCATTGTTGTTTCGTAAGTGTGCTGTTTTATATATTGAAATTGTCATCTTTGATAATGGCTTAAGTAAGCCGAAAGCTTAGATTGGATTTAAACATGTATCAATATGGTGTTTTCCTTTCGGCTTTCAACGATAATGTGATTAAGTTTATCAGACAATATGAAAGGAACTTACTTAAAATAAATAGACAAAAAATATATCTATAATATTTAAAGAAACATGCATTAAATATATATATATATATATATATATATATATATATATATATATATATATATATATATATATAAAATTTTTATATATATATATATATATATATATATATATATATATATATATATATATATATATATATATCGTGTAACAGCAAAAATGTCAAAATCGTGTAATAGCATAATTATATGTCCCCAAAATAGTTTAATATCTAAAATCCACTCAACTAATTCATTTCATTTTTTCCAGGTTTTCAGATAGGACTTTTAGTCATCTTCATACCACTTGTAAAAAAAAATCATTTGAGTTATTCAGCTACAAAGACATCAGCTTAAAATCGTCTTGTGCCAGACACACTCTCTTCTCAACTGCCCAATGGTGAAAGGAAATGATCATTCAGGCCATCAGTAATGATATCAACATTCATACACTGGCTTCCATCTTTAAAGCCCATTCAAGAACCAAAAGCGAACAGTGACAAAGTTTAAAAAAGAGGGAACAGTAGAGAGGAAAACTGGATCTGGAGGTCACAACAGGAAGAGGGGTCATCATTTCATCTTAAATTTGAAAAGGTCCGTTAGAAAAGATCCATCTAAATCCATGAGACGTTTGAGAGAAGAGTTTCAGCTATGACAGTCCAAAGAGCAATGAAATGAAATCGAACGTGAAACCTGTAAGGCAACTTATTAATCCAGGACAGAAAGATAGAAGGTGAGAGAGGGCGAAGATCATCTTGAATAAGTCAGAAAATGACCCTGAATATATATATATATATATATATATATATATATATATATATATATATATATATATACCTTTGAACTTTAATTCAGTACTTCATGAGCTTTGGATCCTTAGCCATGATTAATTAATGATGAATATGTCGTTTTCGTTTATGATCGATTTTACAGCAATTCTTTTGTTTGAGAGTAATTATAGCTTCTTATTGCTTAAATTAGAGTCGAATAGCGTTCTAAAAATCTCGAAGAATTCCAGTAAAATATTTTTAATCATTTCGAAGATACAACAGTTCAAAGCTTACACTAATTTTGCTGTTACACGATTTTGCTGTTACACGATTTTACTGCGGTATATATATATATTCAGGCCGGTAAATCAATACTGTTCAACTGAATCGATGAAAAATAACGTATAAACAGAAAATATATTAAAATCTTTGTTGGATTTAATCCATTTACTATGAGATCAATGTTAGTGTTACAAATTCAGAATGGTTGTTCACGGTGTGTGTTTTCAATAATTCAAATTCAGGCTGAACGGTATAACACAGATGATGTTGGTTTCAAAAGATCATGTTGTCTACGAAAAAGAACTGATTAATTAAAAAGAGCATCTCATATATCCATAAAAAATAAACTAAAAATATGATAAAAAAGATCCTGTTAATAGTCTAAGATGAGAGATAGATCAGATATATAGGATAGATATATATATATATATATATATATATATATATATAGATAGATGATGAATAGAATAATAGAAAGACTGAGAAGGAAGATAGATATAGATAGATAATCCATGTGAATAGGCTAAGATAGATACTAACAGAATGGACATGAATGGAGAATATATATATATATATATATATATATATATATATATATATATATATTACGATAAACGTGCAATCAATTTACAAATTCATGAATTATTCACACAAAAAACAAATGCAAAGGTTAATGATTTCATTGGCGAGAAATGCATCATCGCAAACAATTCAAATAATATACAAAAATCTTCCGAATCCGTTATGAATGAAATGATCTGTGTTTCCATAAATTTCTGCCGTATTAGTTCTTATTTTTACTACAAGCTTTCGTCTGTTCCTACAGACATCTTCAGGTATAGAATAGATGTTGTTCTTGTTTTTTCTCTTAGTAATAAGAGGACAACGAAAATATATGTATTGTTGTATCCGAAAATGCTATTGAAAATGAGTTATTGTTTTTGGAGCGCGCAGTAGCAACGCTGAGTTTGATTTTAAATTTTAAAGGTTGTGCGTTCATATAAAATAAAATATTTTTTCTGGTATATTATTTGAATTGTGCGATGATGGATTTCTCGAATTTTTTCATTTGTTTTTGTGTGAATAATTCATGAATATATATATATATATATATATATATATATATTATATATATATATATGAAGAAATATAGTCTTAAGATGCTATATTTATGGATAAAGTGCTCAATTCAGAAATAGAGCGTATGTAAATATAAACATAAATCATTCCAAAGGCGACAGGCTGTTTCATTACACAATCGTCAATTCTATATATATATATATATATATATATATATATATATATATATATATATATCCGTTGGGTTATGAATACTTGGCGCTATACAGTTTCTACATCTTCAACGTGGCCCGGTTCTTGGTAGTGGATGCGCACTACTGATGAGTCCCAAATAGTGTAAAACAGTCTGTCGCCTCTGGGTGTTAACTTCAATGTCACTAATATATATATATATATATATATATATATATATATATATATATATATATATATATAAACTAAAAAGATAACATACATTTAACACACCCACATCCTCTTCCCAACAACCAATAAAACTGTCACAAATGGCCAAGGGAAGATTCTGAGGCAGAGCAATCTTCCAGCCTATAACTTAAACACAACTTGAATTATCTATCTATCTATCTATCTATCTATCTATCTATCTGACCAAAGATAGCTAAATATATTTATTATAGAAAATTAAACTTTTTTCTTTTCTTTTTTTCTCTTTCTCTAACAAACGTTTTTGCATTGACAATCCCCAGGGAGAAAACTGAAATCGCCGTCGGAATGAGGTAATAGAATTTCATTTTATTTAAATTATATATATATATATATATATATATATATATATATATATATATATATATATGAAGTTATGAAGAACTTGGTAAACCGAATTGGTAAATTCAAGGAGGAAATCCTGAGAGCTCAATGTGAAGAACAGAGTTAGTATTTAATGAAAAACAAACCACTTTAAGGTACCATTACAATAATTTATTTCACCAAAATCCTTTTTTAAGTAAATTATATATATATATATATATATATATATATATATATATATATATATATATAGACACACAACAGGTACAATGAGAACAAATGGAGTATGTTTCCACTTTACCTAACACTTAATTTAAAAAAGCCTATATCAAGAGATTTTTTAGGTTGAATTTGTATTGAGCGTAGATCAGGTTTCATTGGTTAATCACATCAAAGCCCACGATTTTATTTTTTAAGGATTCTGCTTTGAAATTAAATTAATCTTTCACTCACCCGTAGATTAACATCGCCTGAAGAGACACATTTATGATGTCGAAACATAATTGTAATGGTGTAGCGATTTTTAACATACTTTAATATCCTAAAATAGATAATACGTGCACGCATACACAGACGCGCGCGCGCACTCACAAACATATATATATTTATATATATATATATATTCTTCAATCTGTTCATACCTATCTATCAATAAAACTATCATAAATTCCGCTATCTTAGTCTGTTCATATATGCAAATACATATCTATCTATCTAGCTAGCTAGCTAGCTATTTCAGTGAATTTATCCATTTCTCTATCTAAACTCTTCATATCTATCTCAGCATACATAGATAGATAGATAGATAGAAGATAGATAGATAGATAGATAGATAGATAGATAGATTTAAATATACTCCAAGAATTACATAACCAATTAGCTGGCGACATAGATAGGTATGAACAGGCTGATATATATATTTACAGATAGGTATGCATAGATTGAGATAGATAGAAAGATAGGTATGTACAGACTAAGATAGATAGATAGATAGATAGATAGATAGATAGATAGATAGATAGATAGATGACTAAAGATATTGATTCTCAGAGATGACTAAAGATATGATTATTCTCAGATAGATAGATAGATAGATAGATAGATAGATAGATAGATATTTTTAGATCGAAATAGATATATATTTTAGATTGAGATATATTATTAGATTGTGATAGATTATTATTATTTGATCGAGATATGTAGATAAATATTAGATTGAATTGACATGATTAGATTGAGATATATAAATAGAGATGTTTAGACTGAGGTAGGTGGATAGATATGATTAGCCTGAAATAGATAGATAGATAGATAGATAGATAGATAGATAGATAGATAGATAAATAGGCGTCTTTTCTTTCTTCAACGATCTCTTTTTGTATCGTTAACTTGGCCACTGCCATGCGTCAACTATTTTTTTTAATTCTCCTTCATTTCAATCCAAGAAAAGCAGAAATCTTGCAACTAACAAAGAGAAACTATTATTGGAGCAAAGCCTGCAGTTGTCTATTGAAAGAAGTGAAGAACAAGGGGAGATAATTCATGCTTTTTAGAAAAGAAATAGAACGATATAAATAAAAAGACGTTAGAAAATGAATAAATGTCTGAAGAAAAATATAACGTAGTTTGTGTTGTATAAAAGAAGATGAAAGGAGGATTACTGAAGAAGAAGAAGAAGAAGAAGAAGAAGAAGAAGAAGAAGAAGAAGAAGAAGAAGAAGAAAGATTAAAAAAAAGAAAGAAAATTAAACCAGAAAAAAGCGTCAAATCTAAAACTAAAAAAAAAATATGAAAAAGGGCGTGAATATTCTTCCGCGCAGGTGATCAAAATCTCTGGAACCGCATTATGCACTCTTTCTGCTTTGTCTTCTTCTTCAATCCTTGCGCGGTGGCAACGAGTTCTCGTCTGTAATCCGCGCAGATCACAAACTGAAACATCCGGGTTCTGGCTTTTCTCGTGTAATCGCATTTAAGAAGATTAAAAAGTCCCAAAAAGAAAGAAAACCAAAAACAAAAGAAGAACCAAGCTTAAGAAAGAAGGCACTGACAATATCGAAAAGAAAACTTTAAAAGAAAAAAAAATAAACAGATATCCCAAACACTAAAACTGCTGAAAAAAAATGGAGGCTTAAATAGGAAGGGAGATAACCAAACACACACTAATAGCAAGGGAGATAATAACAGAATAAAAGAAAAGTGTGTTTGATGAAATAATAATAATAATAATAATAATAATAATAATAAAGACTTAAAAACCCAAATGAGAATTCCAAAGTTATTTTTATTAGTAGTTGAAGTTGGTGTAAATTTATATCAGCCATAGAAATTTGAATTCCTCTATGTCCTCCTGATAATGTTAATATTAACCGTTTCCCAACAAGGAAACTTTTAGCATTCATTGATCGAACTTCTTTTTTTCTTTTTTTTTTAAAGAAAAACAGGTTTAGAGGTACGTTGTATTAATGGATAGCGTCTGGGATTGAGGAATCGGAGTTCGAATTCCAGTCGGAACCATTTCATTCACTTACGTGCTAATGTTCTTGGGAAAGGTATGAATCCTCTTCTTCTCTCCCCAGCTTATAGCAAGACATAGCCTTGGATAGCAACTGATCTACAGCAGAAAGAAATGGCAACTTACGGCGGGAAAAAATCGTAAGTCATGTATCGAAAGATACATGATCGCCTACGCGTGTATCCCGTATGTCACATAAGTCCAGTAGCTTTTATTGCTCTTTCCAGTATTGATGGGGGTTTCCTTCCTAAGCTTTTATTTGAAGTGGTGTGGAATTCTAATATCTTGACAGCATCGTTACTTTTTTTTCGAGTTACTTACGCTAACCATTTAAGCTGTTCCTTTTTTTGAATGTCCTCAAGTGATGTGGTTTATTATATTTAGCACAGATCCTTTTTGTTTGTGATTCTGTAGCGCCAATCCCTAATGTTCAAAGAAGGATGCTCTTTATCAAGACCCGCAGGCTTTACAATCTCAAAGTCCTTTTTCATTATTGATCTTAGAAGACGTGGCTTACCACGCAACAAGAAAAATGAGCGATACTAGAATTGTACTGTTCCAATCTCTCAAGAGAGCCAAACATATAAAAAAATAATTACACTAGAAGTCATAAAAGTATCTGTCTATATTTCTGAAATGAGGTTTTATGTACACTATTTACATTATTCGGACTATTGTCCTCAATGTTTCGGCCGATGTACGCTCCGGCCTTCTTCAGGCGGTTGGAATGTTGAACGGAACCCTTTATTTCGCTCGCTAGCGTAGACTGTTCTAGTTCTATGTGCCATGTCTAATGGATGTCAGTTATCAGTTATCTCCTGTTAATTCCCCTCTGCAAGTTCTCCACTGCCTTAATCGGGTATTGAACTCACACTGTTTGGTTCCTGGAACTAGAACAGTTTACCCCAGTGAGCTAAATAAAGTGTTCAGTTCTACATTCCAACAGCCTGAAGAAGGCCGGAGCGTACAACGGCCAAAATATTGTAATAAATATGTCAACAAAGATGAGGACAATAGTCCGAATAATGTAAATAGTGTACATAATACCTGATCTCAGAAATATAGACAGATACTGAAAGGCTGAAACGTTGTAATAAATATGTCGACAAAGATGAGGAAAATAGTCCGAATAATGTAAATAGTGTACATAATACCTCATCTCAGAAATACAGATAAATACAGAATACGAAAAGTTGATATTTTCCAGTAAAGGGCATTCAGCCAATCAGAATGATACCCACGATATCAATCAGGTAAAGGTCATGAAAAAAATGCTGCCATTTCATGGAACAATTTCTCAGAAACCAATTTGATTCAGCTATTGATTAGTGACCGTTGACAGATATTATGACGTATATTCGATCCTTAAAATTACCTTCCAGAAAGGGTTCGATTTCTTCGCGAACTATGGTACCAAGTGCTCCTTCAACGACAACAACTATGGTACCAAGGGCTTCTTCAACAACTCTGGCTTCAATTGCTTCTTCAACAACAACAACTATGGCAACACCTGCTTCTTCAACATCAACTACGGCACCAAGTGCTTCTTCAACAACATCTATGGCAACACGTTCTTCTTCAACAACAACTATGGCACCAGTTGCTTCTTCAACAACAACTATGGCACCAGTTGCTTTTTCAACAAATCTATGGCACCACGTGCTTCTTTAACTACAACAACAACCCTGGCTTCAAGTGCTTTTTCAACAACAAATATGGCACTACGTGCTCTTTCAACAATAACAACTATAGCACCTCATGCTTCATCAACAACAAGTATGGCACCGAGTGCTTCTACAGCAACAGCAACCATCGCACCACGTAGTTCTTTAACAACAACTATGGCACCAAGTCCTTCTTCAACAACAACAACTATGGCAGCAAGTGCTTCTTCAACATGAACAACTATGGCACCATGTGCTTCAACAACAACTTTGGCACCACGTGCTTCTTCAACAACAACAACTATGGCACCACGTGATTCTTCATCAAAAACTATGGCACCGAGTTCTTCTTCAGCAACATCTATGGCACCACGTGCTTCTTCGACAACAATTATGTCACCAAGTGCTTCTTCAACCACAATTATGTCACCAAGTGCTTCTTCAACAACAACTATGGCACCACGTGCTTCTTCAACAACAACTATGGCACCACGTGCTTCTTCAACAAAATCAATGGCACCAAGTGCTTCTTGAACAACTATGGCACCATGTGTTTCTTTAACAACAACTATGGCACCAAGTCCTTCTTCAACAACAGCTATGGCACCACGTGCTTCTTCAACAACTACTATAGCTCCACGCGCTCCTTCAACAACAACAACTATGGCACCACCTGCCTCTTCACCAACAACAACTATGGCAGCAAGTGCTTCTTCAACAACTACAACTATGGCACCACGTGGTTCTTTAACAACAACTATGGCACCCCATGCTTCTTTACCAACAATAATTATGGCACCACGTGCTTCTTCAACAACAACAACAAATATTTTACCACGTGCTTCTTGAACTACCACAACAACTCTGGCACCAAGTGCTTCTTTAACTCCAAGAACTATGGCAGCAATTGCTTCTTCAACAACAACAAAAAATGCGTGAGCTGTCACCGAAACACCACATTGAACTTGCTTGGAACTTATCACTTCCCCACTTTTAAACCCAACGCAAAATCACACAAAAACAGCTTCTTGTACACACGCGCTTTAACACTGACACCTACACACACACACGCACACACATACGCACGCACACACACTGACTCATATATATATTGCCTATAACTGAAGATATATCGTTAAGTAGGATGTAAATTTTATTTTCTTTAGTAATTTCACTCTTGTCAAAGAATTAAGAAAGATTCCTTTCTATGACTGCTGTCAACCGTAAAAAACAGATTAAGTTACATTTTTGGTTGTGACAAGAAAAGATAAACTTTGTTTTGAAATTTTATAGACAGTTATGAACGAAACGTGAATTAATATATACAGTGGGGAAAAACAAATATTCGTATGCATACAAATTTTTAATTTATTGTATTTCCAACTAATGAATAAGCATATATTTTATATAATTAACTGTACACAGATGCATGATAACTAAATATGCATAGAAAACAGAAAAAAATGATTTAATAGTTGATACAAATTATTCGTTGTTATGCCATAGTACCTATTCTATTGTAATGGACTCTCCCATAGATAATAAGTAGGACTAGCAGTGGCAGGTCTGGCAGAATAGCGTCTCGCGGTCTTTGACTGCGCACGCCTCCCGTCGAACAGGCTCGGGGATACCCACAATAAAGCCGGCCTTGTCGAATTCTCTGCGTTGGGTGAAAGATAAAACCGAATGGCGACTCGACTTTGACTGCGGACGCCTCCTATCGCTGCGAAGGCAAGGTTTCGAAAAGGGCAAAGTTTCGTCGGGGACAGGCCTGAACCCGTCTAATCGGCTTCAAAAGGCTATTTTTTTTGGCCGAGCCTACGGGCTCGGGGGAAACCCACATAAAAACGGCCTTGTGCCATATTCTTTTCAGTGGGTGAAAAGATAAATACCGAATAGCGTCTCGCGGTCTTTGACTGCGCACGCCTGCTGTCGAACTTTGCCGAAGGGCAAAGTTCGTCCGGGCAGGGCCTGAACCCGGACGGCTTCAAAAGCTATTTTTTGCCGGCTCGGGGATACCCAATTAAAAGTTTCGTCCGTGGGTGGAACGATAAATACTGAATAGCGTCTCGCGGTCTTTGAGGGCCTGAACCCGTCTAATCGGCTCAAAGGCTAAAACGGGCTCGGGATATTTTTTGGCCAGTTTCCGTGGGAAATGATAAATACCGAATGGCGTCTCGGGGATACCCACATTAAAACCGGCCTGAACCCGTTTAATTGCTATTTTTGGCCGAGCCTCGGGGATATTCGTGCCATATTCGTGGGTGGAACGATAAATACCGAATAGCGTCTCGCGGTCTTTGACTGCGCACGCCTCCTGTCGAACTCTCTGCGTTAGCGAAGAGGAACTGGACGAAGCTTTGCCGAAGGGCAAAGTTTCGTCCGGGGGAGGTAGACAGGGCCTGAACCCGTCTAATCGGCTTCAAAGGCTATTTTTTTGGCCAGCCTACGGGCTCGGGGATACCCACATTAAAACCGGCCTTGTGCCATATTCGGTCCTCGTGGGTGGAACGATAAATACTGAATAGCGTCTCGCGGTCTTTGACTGCGCACGCCTCCTGTCGAACTCTCTGCGTTAGCGAAGAGGAACCCAGGACGAAGGGCGGTTCGTTTGCCGAACCCGTCTAATCGGCAAGGCTATTTTTCGTCCGATACCACAATAAGCCGGCCTTGTGCCATATTCGTTTCCCGTGGGAGAAATGATAAATACCGAATGGGCCTCGAAACCCGTCTAATCGGCATTCAAAGGCTTTGCCGAAGGGCAAGGTTTTTGGCCGAGCCTACGGCTATTTCGGGGATGTCCACAATAAAGCCGGCCTTGTGCCATATTCGTTTCCCGTGGGTGAAATGATAAATACCGAATGGCGTCTCGCGGTCTTTGACTGCGCACGCCTCCCTGTCGAAACTCTCTGCATTAGCAGAGAGGAACCCGGACGAAGCAAGGTTTGCCGAAGGGCAAGGTTTCGTCTTCAAAGGTAGGCTCGGGGCCTGAACCCGTCTAATCGGCTTCCAAAAGGCTCGCGGTCTTTTTTTGCCGGGCCTACGGGCTCGGGGAGAAGACAGGGCCTGAACCCGTCTAATCAAAAGCCGAGCCTACGGGCTTGCCTTGTGCCATATTCGTTTCCGTGGGTGAAATGATAAATACCGAATGGTGTTGAGCGCGTCAGTCGATATTCGGACATTTGAAGCACCAACCATCACAACTAGATTTGCTGCGTCATTGACTCTTATTTTCCAAGTTCCTAACGTTTTGTACGTCGGACCTAATTTAGGACGACTTATTAGAAATACAAGCCGATACTGTGAAAATACTCCACAACATTCGCACAATAAAAAAATACATAATTTGTATTTAATACTTTGTAGAATGGCATTATTCACCTCTACACCAACCAACCTCTTCCTGTAGTTTTCAATGATTTGCAAATTTTAGTTGGTATTTTGTTCCATTCTTCTTCGCATATGGTCTTCAGATCCGGAATGTTTGTTGGAACTCTCGATTGGATTTGAATTTTCAAATAACGCCACAAATTCTCGATTGGCGTTAAATCTAGGAACTGACTTGGCCTCATCAGGATATTTACATTATTTTCAGCAAGTAATTTTTTCATAGATTTTGCAATGTGCTTAGGATCATTATCTTGTTGGAAGATCCAATCAGGAGAAAGTTCAAGATTTTCAACCGAAATCATTAAATTTGCTTCCAAAATATTTTGATATGCTGTGGCATTCATTCTACCATCGATTACTGATATATTACCAGTAGCTTTTGCAGAAAACATCCCTAAACCATGTTACTGCCACCACCAAATTTCACTTTTGGATCTTTGTTCTTGTGTTTGAAAGCATCGCCATCTTTCCTCCATATAAAATTTCTAGAATTATCTTCAAACAACTCAATTTTGGTTCCATCTGTCCATATTACTCTTTCCCAATACGATTTCTTCTCATCCTAATCTTCACGAACGAATTTTAACCTGGCATCTCTGTGTCTTTTCAATAGCAGTGGAGTTTTCCGAGGGGAGTGGAATTTTAGATTGTTCTTACGAATTTCATTGCTTATTATCCGTTTAGTGACAGAGATTCCTGATGAAAGCAAATCATCCCGAAACACTTGAAGAGTAACCATTGGATTTTGTTTAATTTGACGCATTAATTTCCACGGAGATCTTGCAGAAATCGTACGTGAAGAACCTGATCTTTGGTTTTCAACAGCTTTGATTTTTTATACCTTGCAATGAATGAACTAATGGGAATGTATGGAATAATCAGTTTGTCGGAGACTTTCCTGTAAATTTTACTTTCTTTCCAGAGCTTAACAATCAGTTCTTTTGCGAATTTGCCAATTCTTTACCTCTTGCCATAATGAAAACCTTCTTGCACGAATATCAATTACAGAATGTTCTGTTTGTATTTTTAGGCTAAAATGACAACTGGTAACATTACTGGAACATTCTAGAATATTCTACTTGAATAACCTAAAGAATTAAAGCAATTTAAATGTTTTTACACCAGAAATATACTTGTTTCGCTCATTAAAATGAATGGATAAATGGATTTTATTTGTATTTAATGAAATTTCTTTCTGTTTTCTATGAATATTTAGATATTATGCATCTTTGTACACCTAATTATATGAAAAGTATGTTTATTCATTAGTTAGAAATACAATAAATTAAAAATTCGTATGTGTACGAATATTTGTTTCCCTACTATATATATATATATATATATATATATATATATATATATATATATATATATATATATGTGTGTGTGTGTGTGTGTGTGTGTGTGTGAAAAATTTCTCAGAGTTAACCTGTAGAAAAGAAAATAAGTCACTCAGAAGGAACGAAGAGTGCCGCCATTGAATATTACCCAAATATAAATGTACGCCCAGGCTTTTTCACTATTTCACCTTTTATAACGAAATTACTACTCTCCCAAACAATCGTACACAACCCTATCGAGAAATTAAAAGAAAATGGTTGAATCCGTCAACACAGCAATAATAACAATATCTCCACACGTAATTGACGTAAGTTTAACAGTATGATAATAGCATTCTCTAAATTCTTCCAGTTAAAGACATTTTGTTTTGTTATTTTTAGTTACTTTGTTTAATAAATTTATTTCATATTTTGCCTTGAAAAAGTCCACATTGGACGAAACGCGTCGGCTAACTATTACAGTTGTCCTGTTGTCTTTTATATATATATATATATATATATATATATATATATATATATATATATATATATATATTTAAAAGAAAAACAGACCACTTTAAGCTACCATTACAATAATTTATTTCATCAAAAAGAAGAAGGAGAGGGATAGTGGATAGATCAAGGTAACTGGAGATGTCGATTGACGTTACATTTGAATAGTTGGAGATTATAGCTCTCAGGGAAACAGTAATTGGGAAGGGTGTTCCACAGGCGAGAGGTGCGAGGTATGAAGCTATTGGAGTAGAAGAGACGGCTACATTTAAAAGTTTCTACAGTGTAAGGGTGGGATCGGGATGCCAGCCTCGTAGGGCGCTTGAATTCATGGAGTCTGGGAATCAGTGAAAGCAGCTCATCAGAGCAATTACCATGGAAGTATTTGTATAAAAGACAGAGAGAGGCGACGGCGCTTCTGTGAGAGAGTGACTGCAGACGAGACGCTAGATCAGGGCCAATTAGATTACATATCCGTCTCACATCATTAGAAAATTGAAAAATAAAGATTCTGAAATATTTTGATATTTAAATCTTCTTGTATAGTTGGCAAAATTGACTTTATAATTTGGGGGTGACATTTTTCAAGAACTAAAAGAAATTAATGCACTTTTCATTATTTTTGAACAAAAGTTCATTGATTCAAGATGCAGGAATATTTGATTATAAAAAAGTCATATTTCCATGCTGTGAAAAATTCCGGATTTGCTACATAAAGGAAAAACTATTAATGACAAGCGCTAACATCTAAAGACTATCTATTGTGGCGAAATCGGTAAAGGGATGTCAGGCAGTATGACGGTTCCGTATAGGATACAGGTTCGATTCCTATCGGAAGACGAATTTTTCTGTGAAAATTTCTCGAACTTTCAGGCCGGTAAATGTTGTTAATACTGTTTATTATAAACAGAGCATTTACTTATATATTTGTATCTATAAAAATAATGTATAAACATGTCTTAAAATAATTGTCGGACTTTGTCCATTTCATAATATATGCTGTTGTTATGATCATAGAATGGGAGTTAGATAGTGCAGGTTAGCAGTAGGTTTCGTAATATATTAGGCCTAATTTTAAGTGTGGGTATAGATGAATTATGGTATATATTATTTATAATGATTCCAATAATTTCACAAACAGGGACATTAGTAAATTGGTTTTCGACATCGAGTGAGGCTATGGTTTCATTGTTAGGTTTTTCACTTTTTTAAATTTGGATTGTTTCAAAAGATGATTTTATGCTGTATTTTCTAGAGAGATATGGCGTTATAAATTGATTGACGATTTTTGTTAATTGATATCCAAGAGTGGGAATTTGTGATATAATGGGCGGAGAGGATATCTCATGTGTTTTTAAAGTGCCATATAGGTAGCCATTTTAAAATGTGTACAATAGATACTCTTTAAATGTTAGCGCTTGTAATTAATACTTTTTTTCCCTTTATCTAGCAATTACTCAAGTCCGGAATTTTTCCACTGCTTACCTAGTTACCTCCCCTTAAAAAGTTGTCCGTCACCCAAGTCATGACACAGAGTTCCTAACACCACATATAAAAACGGTAATTTTCGGATGACCACAATAATTTTGGTCATTCACAACCATGAACACTAAATACTTACTCTATAATTAGCAATACTCCGATGATGACATTATGGTATGTCGAAAGTACTCGGAATAAATACAATATGAAGCAACACATTGTTTTCCTCTCTACTTTTAATAACCGCACAAAAAAGGTTATTCGCGAATATGAAAGGATCCTATCGAGAATAAGTAGACAGAACGCTTAAAGAAACCGGTGTTAATGAAAATATGCTGCCAAAATACACACACACACACACACACATATATATATATATATATATATATATATATATATATATATATATATGAAGTTTTAAGGTGTGCTACATTTATGGGATGAAATCCTCAATATCAGAGATAGAGCGTATGTAAATATAAATATAAAAGTGAACATTGAAGTCAACATTCAGAGGCGACAGGCCGTTTCATGCTGGACGCAATCGTGAAGTGATTTGCTTGTTTATTAAACAAACAAGCTACTCCCACAAAAAATAACCGCCAGAATAGATTACCCACAATGCACCACTGACCAATATATATAAATAGTCAAGGAAATATCCAGCATTCGCGGCCTGACGATTGCGTCCAGCACGAAACAGCCTGTCGCCTCTGAGTGTTGACTTCAATGTTCACTTTATATATATATATATATATATATATATATATATATATAGATAGATAGATAGATAGATAGATGTTGCATGAAAATAGATTTGATTATGTATTACCTCATTCAAGGTTTCATCTTATCCCCAAACAACGAAAGAGCAAAATATGTGTATTAGTATATGTATTTGTGTGCGTCTGTGTGTATGTGTATGTGTGAAATTTCAGATGGAGTATATCTGTGAAAAAACAGTATGAATAAAAACAAAAGAAAACTTATCTTAGCTGGCGCGTTTCGTCCTCTGAGGGATTTATCAAGGCAAATGCAACACCAAAGGACTATGCCAGCATTCAACAACTTAAACAAGGAGGCCGTCCAGAAAAATTGCAGTAGATTACGAAGTCGTCTTGAGACAATGGTTGAAGTCAATGGCGATTTTATTAAATGAATTTAGTCTTTAGTCATGCAAGATATTTTTGTATAATTTTGGTAAATGTATCTATTAAAATGAGATGTCAAGATTTTTTTTTTATTTTAGCGTAATTTAGACGACAATTTATCAATTGCATCCTCTATATGGATGGATATAAAAAAAAAGAGATAAAAAAAAGGCTGTTTAGATAGATAAGCAATAAATATTATAGATAGATAGATAGATAGATAGATAGATAGATAGAAATAAAAGATAGAAATAAAAAGAACAGGCTGTGATAGATAGAGATAGATAGATAGATAGATAGATAGATAGATAGATAAGAAAATGAAGATAGATAGATAGATAGAAGATAGATAGATAGATAGATAGAGATAGAAATAAAATGAACAGCTGTGATGATAGATAGATAGATAGATAGATAGATAGATAGATAGATAGATAGAAAGGCTGTGAAAATAGATAGATAGATAGGATGATGATAGATAGATGAATGATAGATAGAAAATGAACAGGCTGTGATAGATAGATAGATAGATAGATAGATAGATAGATAGATAGATAGATAGATAGATAGATAGATAGAAATAAAATAAACAGGTTGTGATAGATAGATAGATAGATAGATAGATAGATAGATAGATAGATGAATAGATAGATAGAATATGAACAGGCTGTGATAGATAGATAGATAGATAGATAGATAGATAGATAGATAGATAGATAGAAATAGAAAATAAACAGGCTGTGATAGATAGATAGATAGATAGATAGATAGATAGATAGATAGATAGATAGATAGATAGAAATAAAATAAACAGGTTGTGATAGATAGATAGATAGATAGATAGATAGATAGATAGATAGATAGATAGATATGAATAGACCGGATTAGATAGATAGATAGATAGATAGATACGCTTATCAGTGCTAGATTTTGATAAATCCAATCATATCACGCTTTCTGGTGGGGACAGGTAGTGCTCGGTTAAATTCCATTGCGTGAGCTTGTCTACTGATTGTTTCATTAACGATGAGCCAGTATTTCTTTCTTTGTCTCTTTCCGCTTTTTTTTTTTTAATATCTCATGAACTCGCTCAGCCAGCGAGGTGGAGATGATTAAGGAGAGCGCAGTGTCAGCAAATGAAAGACAACTTTCCAGAGACTTTTTAAAAGTGCAAAGGACGTTGAAATTATTGTATGAGGCGCCATTACCCTAGTTAGGCTATTTCAACTAAACGTTTAATGGCTGGCTACTCTCCCGACATACCTCGCAGATATAAATGAGTTTCTTGTTAAAAAAAAAAACAAAAAAAAAAACAAATAAGAAATGTGGAACTTGAATCTGTGAATTCACGCGTGAAAAGAAATGAATGATTTCACAGACTTAATTAAAATACAATCTTCTCGTCAAAAATCGAACGACTGAGAACGTAATGTCTTTATATACAATCGAACTTTTCCCCCAGTTATTGACTAGCACAAAGTCCACCCACAAATATGGCTCAACAAAAATAACTATCGTTATTTAATTTTGGCTTGTATTGAGCTATTATTAAAGACTGTTGTTTGCAATCCGAAAAAAATAAGAAAGGTACTATAATGTTTGACAAATTGGCATCAGTCTTTAATAGTAGCAGTAGTAATAATAGAAACGGTGGTAGTAATATGAACTTAAAAACAATAAGATTGATTACTAAGAGAATTAATAGTAATAGTATAAGAAGACGAAAATTGAAAGAAAAAGGTAGAAAGAAACGGAAATCATATAGAGAAAGAAATAAAGAAATTAAAGAAAGAAAAAGAAATAAAGGACGAGAAAAGAAAGAAAGGGAAATGAAGCAAGGTAAAGAAAGAAAGAAAGAAAGAAAGAAAGAAAGAAAGAGAGAAAATAAAAGAAAGGTAGAAAAAGGGCAATAATAAAGAAAGAACGATAAAAAAAAGAAAAGAAAGAAAAAAGAGTATAATAAAGAAGAAAGAAAGAAAACAAAAGAAAAGAGACAAAGGTAGAAAAAGGGGAATGATAAAAAGAAAGGAAAAGAAAAGAAACGTAGAAAAAGAGGAATAATGAAGAAAGAAAGAAAGAAAGAAATGATGACGAAAAATATTAGAAGACGAAAATTGAAAGAAAAAAGTGAAAAAGAAACGGAAATTATATAGAGAAAGAAATAAAGAAAGTAAAGGAAGAAAAGCAAAGAAAGAACGAGAAAAGAAAGAAAGGGAAATGAAGCAAGGTAGAGAAAGAAAGAAAGAAAGAAAGAAAGAAAGAAAGAAAATAAAAGAAAGGTAGAAAAAGGGCAATAATAAAGAAAGAACGATAAAAAAAAGAAAAGAAAGAAAAAAGAGTTTTATAAAGAAGAAAGAAAGAAAACAAAAGAAAAGAGACAAAGGTAGAAAAAAAGGAATGATAAAAAGAAAGAAAAAGAAAAAAACGTAGATAAAGAGGAATAATGAAGAAAGAAAGAAAGAAATGATGACGAAAAATATAGGAAGACGAAAATTGAAAGAAAAAAGTGAAAAAGAAACGGAAATTATATAGAGAAAAAAATAAAGAAAGTAAAGAAAGAAAAAATAAGTTGAAAAGCAAAGGAATAACGAAAAACGAAAGAAAGGGAAATAAAGCAAGGAAGAGGAAGAAAGAAAGAAAGAAAGAAAGAAAGAAAGAAAGAAAAAAGAAAGAAAGAAAGAATGAAAATAATAAAGAAGAAAGAAAGAAAGAAACCAAAGGAAAAGAGACAAAGGTAGAAAACGGGGAATAATAAAAAGAAACAGAAAAGAAACGTAGAAAAAGAAAAAGAAAGAAAGAAAGAAAGAAAGAAAGAAAGAAAAGAGGCAAAGGTAGAAAAAGGGGAATAATAAAGAAAGAATGAAACAAAGATACAAAGAAAAGAAAAGAAAGGTACAAATATGTAGAATAATAAAGAAAGAAAGTGAGAGAAAAAAGCTAGAAAAAGGGAAATGAGAAAGAAAGAATGAAAGATTGGAAAGTGTTATAAGAAAGAAAATCTAAAGAGACGAAAAAAGAGAGCTGTATATGGGATGAAGATGTAAAGAAAGAAAGAAAGAAGCAAACGAGGAAAAAGAGACATGTATATATAATTTAAGAAAATGCAATTGATAAACACAGCCGAAATTAATTATGACCTTTTGGCAGTTTCCTTGCATTTTTTTCTAATATTCGGACTTTCTTCCAGGGACTGTAATGGTCAAAGTTCACATACCATATTTGATCGGTCAGACCAGATTTTTAACTTTTTTATTTCGATAGGACCTTAAAATTATTCTTCATCGAATCTGATTTTAGCCAAATTCAAAGAACATATAAAGTTCCCAATTCTCTTTTCTAAAAATACTAAAAAAAATAGAAGTGTCCTTACTGATTATGGGTTAAATATTTGCCCATACCTGGGACCCTGACAGGTTCTACTACCACCTCTGATCAGAATGGACCTGGGAAAACCAGCATTCAAGAGGTGGTTCCACACTCCACAAAACCTTCTGATGCCGATGTAGTTTATCGTCTTACCCAGCACGTGGATTTAGTATATCGTCTTACCCAGCACGTGGATGTCGCTTATCGTCTTAAGCCAGGACGCGGATGTAGTTTATCGTCTTACCCAGCGCGTGGATGAAGTTTATCGTCTTACCCAGCCCGAGGATGTCGCTTTTCGTCTTACCCAAGACGCGGATGTAGTTTATCATCATACCCAAGAGGCGGATGTAGTTTATCGTCATACCCAGGACGCGGGTGTAGTTTATCGTCATACCCAGGACGCGGATGTAGTTTATCGTCATGCCCAGAATGCAATGTAGCTTAAAGTCTTACCCAGGACGTGGATGTAGTTTATCGCCTTACCCAGGACGCGGATGTAGTTTATCATCATACCCAGGAGGTGGATGTAGTTTATCATCATACCCAGGAGGCGAATGTAGTTCATCATCATACCCAGGAGACGAATGTAGTTCATCATCATACCCAGGAGGCGAATGTAGTTCATCATCATACCCAGGAGGCGGATGTATTTTCTCGTCGTACCCAGGACGCGAATGCAGTTTATGGTCACACCTAGGACGCAGATATAGTTTATCGTCATACCCAGAACGTGGATGTAGTTTATCGTCTTACCCAGGACGCAGATGTAGTTTATCGTCATACCCAGGACGCGTATTTAGTTATTTGTCATACCCAGGATGCGAATGTAGTTTATCGTCATGTCCAGGACGCAATGTAGCTTAAAGTCTTACCCAGGACGCGGATGTAGTTTATCGTCATACCAAGGATGGACGGACGGATGGACGAATGGTTGATTTGTCAATGTGCAAGATGGATTCTGACACGAATATTCACTATTCTTTGTAATGGCTTGTCACTTATCAGGCAGCTCTGCCATATCTTTTGAGTAAAAGTCTTCACGTTTTGATATGAACAGCTTTTCGACGAACTCTTGAATCTTGTTTTCATTAAAGAATTATCCTCCACCCCCTGCGAAATATTTTACAGAGAACGAAAGAACTAATAATCAGTCGGTGTAATGTCAGGTGAATATAGCTGGTTGAGTAGAATTAAACAAACTGAGTTCTATTTCTACCCACCCCTGTGTTTTTCATGCTTAAAGGAGAGTACAATTGCATTTTATTAAATTACATATATGTGTTTTTAGTCGTTACACTCGCAAGGCGGGAATACCACTAGTGCAAGGTAGGGTCAAAAGGGAGTGGGATTGAAAGAAAAAACTGAATATAGGGAGGATTGAACAAAGGACAAAAAGATAAAAGGGATTCAAAAAGATGATCGTCGTTGCGTTTAAAATTTTGAAGATTGTAGTTATCAGGGAAGCAAGGAATTTCCACAGACAGGAAGAACGAGGAAAGAAACTGTTGGAGTAGTAACATTACATTGGATTTTTTTTCATTGACATTAAGGAGAACGACATCCTTCCAAGGGACGAAAGAGGACGCGTTTCGACCAAATATTTATCGACAATGTGCAGCTGTTGGAAGTATAAATTTGCATTTAATGTTTTCGTTGTGTTTTAAGCACTCTAAAGGAATAATACCCGGATTATCTCATCACATTCAGAAGATCAATTTTCTTTGGAGCTCAGTGTCGGCGGTCAGTTAGTGACATTAATCTTAATCGTTAGGATAACTTGTTGTCAATACTCTTGTTTCCAAAACCGGAAAACATCCTAATAAAAACAAGACTAGTAGCCATATCACGTTCAAACACCGGCTCCCGTTCGATCAAGGAAGTTAAGCAACCTCGAACCTAGTCAGTACCTAGATGGGTGACCGCTTGGGTATACCAGGTGCTGTGATCTTGGATGGCGGATGGGGTAATGTGCTTGCGCCCACGTCACGACGAAACACCGGTATTGTACTCACGCACTTTGGGTCTTGTCACTGGATCTAACTAACGACTTTATCCACTGTGCCATGTGTCCTCAAGTGAATAAAGGCATTAGTTAGATCCAGTGACAGGACACAAAGAATGTGAGTTCAATACTCGGTTAAGGCAGTGGAGAACTTGGAGAAGAGAATTAACAGGAGATAACTGATAACTGACATCCATTAAAAACATGTCATGTGGAACTAGAACAGTCTATCCCAGTGAGCGAAATAAAGGGTTCAGTTCGACATTCCAACCACCTGAAGAAGGATGAAGCGTACAACGGCCGAAACGTTGTAACAAATATGGCGACAAAGATGAGGACAATAGTCATGAGTTTTTGTGCTGAGGTACAACGATGAGACTTTAGACATACGTATATACGGAAATTTTATCTTGTTTTCGTGTCAGCACCCCGCCCAAATGTTGAATGGTTTCGCAGGCCCCCATGATACGTTGATGAAGCGTCCCCGCATGTCTGCTGCATAAACCAATTGTTTTAGGTGCCCCCCCCCTTCAGATAAAAAAAGAAAAAACTGAGATCGACGGAACGTGCAGGCAATGGAATCAGCCATCCCTTACCGATCCATCTTTCATGGTAGACGCCAGAGTATCGTGAGCAATGTGAGTAAAATATACTATAGCCTCATCATACATGAAAATCATGTCTTTGTATTAGCAGGGGTACATCCTCTTGCAGGTCTAGAAGTTTGTTCGAAATAAAATAGCTGTTGACAGCTCCTGTAAGACGTGCTGTGTGAACATATGGACCTACCAGACAGTCACCTATAATTCCATCTGACATATTAATCGTAAACAGATGCTGGTGTCTAGCCTGTATTGTAACATGAGAATCCCTATCTGCTCACAAACGTTGGTTGTGTAAATTTGTTATTCCATCTCTTCCAAATGTTTTCAAGACTGAAGTGGCAAACAGCCGATCGGCAGTTTGTGCAAAAAATAATCGTGAAAAGGTTCCCCCATGTTGAGTGATTAAATGGCAAAAGAACTTGCACATGTTGCAAATGATATGAATATAGGAGCTGCTTTTAAATTACCCACCATGTGATACTATGAGATGCACGACAAGCTAGGGCTACTTGACGTGTAATGATACTCTCCGAAAACCTGTAGAATGTGTTCTTCGGTGTCAGGCATATCCGCGGACCACGGTCTATTGTCATACCATGGATCTTGTCTCAGCAACGCGAAGACCAACAAGAAATAGGGAGGAACTGGAAAAAAAAACGATAAACAGCAACAAAGGTTACATGACTCGGCTGCCTTCATTCTTGAAACGCAATTTGATACAGCCGTGCAGCTCCGCGTCCATTACCATTCGCGCAGCCGTATGTAAAAATCATATCTGCTTGCTCGCGATATGAATATCCTGTCATTGTTAAATGGAATTCTTCTCAGTTAACTCACTACAAGTTAAACGCTGAAAACAGACTAGCCACAAATGTACACGAAAGACAAATGTAACCTAGTCTACAAAAACTCAAAAAGTATTTTTGAAACACCATATATATATATATATATATATATATATATATATATATATATAGTATAGTATAGCCCGGCGTTGCCCGGGGATGTAACAGAAAGAGATAGATCAAGTATCGACCATCAAAAAGACCGAAAAATAAAATTGACAAAGATTATTGTTTAAGGTTGATGGACACGCATGTCTTAATTAGTTTTTTTTTTTTGTTTGTTTTGTTTTTTGTTTTTACGAATTGGTCAAACCTAAACTCAAACAAAACATTGTTTTCAATCATTATGAATCTACCGATTGAATAGAATTTTATTATAAACAATTGTCTTGTAAATGGAATTTTTAAAGCATTCTGAATGTAAAGAAAAAATTGTACAAGACAATAAGAATCACTACCTGCCAAAAAAAAAGTGAAGTTTTATTGAAATCGGTTGAAAAATGTAGGAAATCCCATCCCATATATAAACGAACACACGCACAAACAAACAACCTGGGTTTTATAAGTATATAACTCGATATGAGTTGTCCCCCTTTCATTCTCGCGTTGCCTCTTAATCGTATCTTCAAATAGATTTCGTACAAAAACAATTGTGTTTTTTCCAATTTTGGGCGCTGTCAGAACCACCGCAAGGTAATTTTACGTAGTACTGTGAAGTTTTGTTGAAATCGGTTGAAAAATGTATGAAATCCGATCCAATATATAAACGTACAGACACACACACAACCTGGGTTTTTATAATAATTATATATATATATATATATATATATATATATATATATATATATATATATATATATATATATAGATATATACCTTGGTTTCAAACTTTGGTTTGTATCAGTTTCAAACTTTTCCCAACCTCTACATATTAAATATTTATTTTTATTTTTCACAGGTGTATTGAGCACTTTTTAATACTACAGTATAATACAATTCTGACCATTAACCTTTTCAGTATTTATATATTTGCTAACACATAAATTATAAGACTAATACATAAATTGGAAAATAATGAAAAAGCATACTTTGAAGTCGTGCAATGGTTAGCAAGCTTGTCTCGCTAGATCTATTATGACTGAGTAGTGAGTTCAATCCTCACTAGGAGCTGTATACTTTCTGCCTTGTACTAAATCTAATTTGCGCTTAATAAATCGCTATAATAAAAAAAGGAAATGAAGTTTGGATTAGAAAAGGTCTTTATCGAATTAATAGAATAAGAATCATAGATAGACACGACACCTGAATACAACGAGAGAGCATCTAATATTTGATTCTAATATGGTAGGAAAAGAAAAAAGGAAAAAAAAAAGAAGCGTCTATAGAAATATAAAAAATATAAGTGACTCAAATAAAAGAATGGCTACCTCGACTAGTAATGATAAGAAACGCGGACAGTTGATTTGCTGAAGGTGGCAATGACCACTCACACATGTGTTTGGGCAATAATGGTGAAGGATTGAAAATGGAGCAGAAAAGAAACACGAAATATGACTTCGAGGATGGACAACATGGCGGCCATAATATTCAAATTCCAGTCAACCGGGGAAATCTCGCTCAGTCACATATGAAACGTGACCTGGAAACTAACACCTTTTTTATTTTCCCCAATTTCTGACATGTATATATATATATGTGTGTGTGTGTGTGTGTGTGTGTGTGGTATTTTAACGACTATTGTACTTTTGTTTTCTTATTTCTGATTTGTTCTTGTTTTGTCGTCCGGTGCGTCCATGATTTTGTCGTTTATCAGCTTCTTGTTTTGTCAAATCAGCATCAGTTTTGTTCATACTCTAGTCTTTGTCTTTTTTTTTCGAATTTCTTTTATTTTCATAAATTTATTCTTATATTTCTGGTTTATAACAGACGCGGTTAAGGCGTTTGTTTGTTCTTGATCCTCCTTCTCTCTACTGGTAATCCGCCATTGGCAAAGAAATGCGTTGAGATAAAAACACTGATGAGAGAAGGAAGGAGGAAAATGAAGGATAATATGGTGAGCAAGAAATAGAAGAAAATTGAAGAAAAGAAATGAAGAAAACGGAGATTTATTAGAATAATGAAAACTGTAGGTAAAGAAAAATATGGAAGAAAAAAGAAGTAAAGAGAATGTAAAGAAGAGATATAAGAAGAAGAAAGAATGTGAAAATTGGAAACATTAAAAAAAGAAGAGGAAGAAAAAGAGGAGGAAAAGAAGAAATGTTAGAAGGAAATTCAAGGAAAAAAATATTGCAGAAGTAAAAACATGTAGAAGATAAAATGAGAATATAAAGAAGAATTATGAGAGTAAGAAGTAACATGAAAAACAAAGATGAATGAAAAAAGAATGAAAAGAAGAAATATTAAAGAAGGAACATGATAAATGATGACGAATGAAAAAAGAATGAAAAGAAGAAATATTAAAGAAGGAACATGATAAATGAAGACGAATGAAAAAAGAATGAAAAGAAGAAATATCAAAGAAGGAACATGATAAATGAAGACGAATGAAAAAAGAATGAAAAGAAGAAATATTAAAGAAGGAACATGATAAATGAAGACGAATGAAAAAGAATGAAAAAAAGAAATATCAAAGAAGGAACATGATAAATGAAGACGAATGAAAAAGAATGAAAAGAAGAAATATCAAAGAAGGAACATGATAAATGAAGACGAATGAAAAAAGAATGAAAAGAAGAAATATTAAAGAAGGAACATGATAAATGAAGACGAATGAAAAAGAATGAAAAGAAGAAATATTAAAGAAGGAACATGATAAATGAAGACGAATGAAAAAAGAATGAAAAGAAGAAATATCAAAGAAGGAACATGATAAATGAAGACGAATGAAAAAAGAATGAAAAGAAGAAATATCAAAGAAGGAACATGATAAATGAAGACGAATGAAAAAAGAATGAAAAGAAGAAATATTAAAGAAGGAACATGATAAATGAAGACGAATGAAAAAAGAATGAAAAGAAGAAATATTAAAGAAGGAACATGATAAATTAAGACGAATGAAAAAAGAATAAAAATATTAGAGAAAGAAGGAAGGTGAAATTAACAATTTCTTATATACCGTACCTATGAACTCTAATGGGTATGTCTCAATCCTCAGAAAAACGTTGGATACTATTCTAAGTGGGAGTAATATGGTGTCTATGTAGTCCACCACTAGCAGTGGTTTACCTACTTCACGCCGCTAGCGAGTATTGTATTTTGTTGATGTTATAAAGATTATTATTTCATTTCCAACCTCCGTTTTGGTTATTCCTCATTCAGTGACCTTTTCTAGGTTAGCACACAATTATTAGAAGAATGAAAAAGAATGAAAAGAAGAAATTTTAGACGAAGAAGGAAAGCGAAATTAGCAATTATTAAAAGAAGAATGAAAAAGAATGAAAAGAAGAAATTTTAGACGAAGAAGGAAAGCGAAATTAGCAATTATTAAAAGAAGAATGAAAAAGAATGAAAAGAAGAAATTTTAGACGAAGAAGGAAAGCGAAATTAGCAATTATTAAAAGAAGAATGAAAAAGAATGAAAAGAAGAAATTTTAGATGAAGAAGGAAAGCGAAATTAGCAATTATTAAAAGAAGAATGAAAAAAAATGAAAAGAAGAAATTTAAGAGGAAGGTGAAATAAAGAATTACTAAAAGAAGAATGAAAAATAAAAGAAGAATAAAAAGAAGAAATATTAGAGGAAGAAGGAAGGTGAAATTAAAAAAAATTAACAGAAGAAAAGAAGAGGTAAAGAAAAATATTAGAAAGATGAAAAAGAAATATGAGAAAAAAAAAGAAAAGAAATAATAAAGAAAAAACATGATGATGATGATGAAGAAGAAGAAGAAGAAGAAGGAGAAGAAAGAAAAATGTAAGGCAAATATATTAGCAGAAGAAGAAAGATGAAATTAAGTATTATTAAAAGAAGAAAAATGAAAAAGAATGAAAGGACAGAACATGAAAAAGAAGGAGAATAAAAAAATAATAAAAGAAAACTAGGGAAAAGAACTGAAAACAAAAGTAAATAAGGAGGATGGTGATATAAAAATAACTTCTAGATAAGGAGAAAAAAGGAAGTGTCGAGAATCATGAGGAATGATAAAATAAAAATGAAGGAGAGAGAAAAAGGAAGAAAAATAACAAAGAAGGAATAGAAAAATCAGACGTGAAAGGAAGGAATATGAAAATTGGGGAAAAAGAAAACTAAACATCAAAATGAAAAATATCTGTCAATATTTCTGAGATGAGGTATTATGATTATTTACATTATTTACATTATTCGGTCTGTTATCTTCATCTTCATTGCAATATTCACAACGTTTCGTCCATTGTACGCTCTGGCCTTCTTCAGTTGGTTTCATATCTGAGATGAGGTATTATGATTACTTGCATTATTTACATTATTCGGTCTGTTATCTTCATCTCCATTGCAATATTCGCAACGTTTCGGCCGTTGTACGCTCCGACATTCTTCAGTTGGTTTGATCTCTGAGATGAGGTATTATGATTACTTGCATTATTTACATTATTCGGTCTGTTATCTTCATCTTCATTGCAATATTCACAAAGTTACGGACGTTGTACGCTCCGGCCTTCTTCAGTTGATTTGATCTCTGAGATGAGGTATTATGATTACTTGCATTATTTACATTATTCAGACTGTTAACCTCACCTTCATTGCCATATTCACAACGTTTCGGCTGTTGTATGGTCCGGTCTTCTTCAGGTGATTGGATCTCTCAGATGAGGTATTATGATTACTTGCATTATTTATATTATTCGGACTATTATCCTCATCTTCGTTGCCATATACACAACGTTTCGGCCGTTGTACGGTCCGGTCTTCTTCAGGTGATTGGATCTCTCAGATGAGGTATTATGATTACTTGCATTATTTATATTATTCGGACTATTATCTTCATCTTCATTGGCATATACACAACGTTTCGGCCGTTGTACGCTCCGGCCTTCTTCAGATGATTGGATCTATGAGATAAGGTATCATGATTATTTGCATTATTTACATTATTCGGACTGTTATCCTCATGTTCATTGCCATAGTCACAACGTTTCGGCCGTTGTAGGCTCCGGCCTTCTTCAGGTGATCTCTGAGATGAGGTATTATGATTTCTTGCATTATTTCCATTATTCGAACTGTTATCTTCATCTTCGTTGACATATTCCCCACGTTTCGGCCGTTCCTTTTCTGTCACTTCTCTCAACTTTCTTTCGTCTCTTCCCACACCATTTCCCTCAACCTTTCATCCTTTTTCAGCCTACCTTCTTTTCCTCCACTTCTCCCTCTTTCTTTAGCCTATCCTCCGCATATTTCCTTCCAAGGACTTTCAATTCTGACTTAGTCTTTCTCTATTTTTCTCCTCACTTGAATTTTTCTATTTATTTTCCTTCTTTTTCTTTTCCTTTTGCTTTCTCCGACGTTTTATTCGTTTCTTTTTCTCTCTTCTTTCCTTTCTCTCACTCTATTTTTGTCTCTGTTTTTTATTATTATTATTATTATTATTATTATTATTATTATTGTTGTTGTTGTTGTTGTTGTTATTTATTTACATTTATTTACATTATTCGGACTGTTATCCTCAACTTCATTGCTTTATTCAAAACGTTTCGGTCGTTGTACGCTCGGGCCTTCTTCAGATGATTGGTATTTTGGAACGAAGCACTTTATTTAGTCCACGGATGTAAATCATTCTAGTTCCATATGTCATGCCTCTTCCGAATGTCCCAGTTATTTCCTTTTAACTCAAGGACACATGGCCCAGTGGATTAGGACCAAAGATTTGTGAGTTCAATACCAGGCCACAGCAGTAGTGAACCAAAAACTTGGAAATTTGAGTTAAAGGGAAATTTCTATATTATTCTCAGAATATATTTCTTTCTTTTTCCTTATCCTCTATCAGATCAGCCTTCTCTCTATACCACTTTTCTCTCTCACGCTATCTCTCGCTCTCTCTCGACATCTCTATATTATTCTCAGAATATTTTTCTCTCTTTTTCCTTGTCTCAATACCTTCTCTCTTTATATCTTTTCTCTCTCTCTCCCTCTATCTCACTAACTCTCGACATTTCTATATCATTCTCAGAAAAGTTTTCTTTCTTTTCCTTACCCTCCATCTCAATACCCTTCTCTCTTTACCTCTTCTCATTCTCTCTCTCTCTCACCCAGTCTATTAACATTTCTATATCATTCTCAGAATATTTTTCTCTCTTCTTCCCCAGTCTCAATACCCTTCTCTCTTTATATTTTCTCTCTCTCTCTCTCACTCTCTCGACAACTCTATATCATTCTCAAAATATTTTTCTTTCCTTTTCCTTTTCCTACATCTCACCCGCTTCTCTCCATTCCTCTTCTCTCTCTCATTCTCTCAAGACAGTTCAACACCCATCTCAACACCCTTCTCTCTTTACATTCTTATTTCTCTCTCTCACTAACTCTCACTTGACATTTCTATATCATTCTCAGAATATTTTTCTCTCTTCTTCTTGATCTCACATCTCAACACAATTCTCTCTTTACTTCTTTTCTCTCTGTCTCTCTCTTTCTCTCTCTGTCTCTCTCTTCTCCTCTCGGCATTTCTATATCATTCTCAGAATATTTTTCTCTCTTCTTCTTTATCCAAAACCTCAACACTCTTCTCTCTATGCCTTTTACCCTCTCTCTTTCTCTCTCTCAGTCACTATCTCTTGACATTTCTGTATCATTCACATTGTATTTTTTCTCCTTTTCCTTAGGCTACATCCCAACATGCTTCTCTCTTCCCCTCTTTCTTCTCACCCTCCCGCATCCTTCTGTCTCTCTCTCACTCTCGACATTTTTATTTAATTATCAGAATATTTTTCTCTCTTCCTCCTCATTCTCCATCTCAATACGCTTCTCTCTTTCATTCTTACATCTCTCTATCTCGCTGATCTCCATAACTCTCTCTTTCTCTCTCACTCGACATTTCTATATCATTATCAGAATATTTTTCTCTCTTTTCCCTTATGCTCTATCTTAAAACGTCTCTCTCTCTCTCTCTCTGTCTTTCCTGTATCCATTTCCCCTATCTCCCTATCTGTCTCTCTCTCACTCTCTCTCGACATTTCTATATCATTCTCAGAGTATTTTTCTCTCTTTTTTCTTATCCTACATCTCAACAGACTTCTCTCTTTTCCTCTTTCTTCTCTCTTTCTCGCATCTCTCTGTCTTTCTCTCTCTCTCACTCTCGATATTTCTATATCATACTCAGAATATTTTTCTCTCTTCTTCCCCATCTTCCATCTCAACACCCTTTAACTCTTTACCTCTTTTTTCTCTCTCTCTATCTCTTTTACTCTTTACCTCTTTTTCTCTCTTCTTCTGTCTCTCTCTCACTCTCGACATTTCTATTTAATTGTCAGAATATTTTTCTCTTTTTTCCCTTATGTACTATCTTAAAACGCTTCTCTCTCTCTCTCTCTCTCTCTCTCTCTCTCTCTGTTTCCTCTATCCATTTCCCCCATCTCCCTATCTGTCTGTCTGTCTCTCACTCTCTCTCGACATTCTCTCTTTTTCCTTATCCTTTTCCTACATCCCAACCTGCTTCTCTCTTTTCCTCTCTCTTTCTCGCATCTCTCTTCTCCCCCCCATCTTCTACCTCAGCACCCTTCTCTCTTTAACTCATTTTTCTCTCTCTATCTCCTCACTATTTCTATATCAATCTGCTAAAATTCTTTCTCGCTAATTCATCCACCTCTTTATTTTTCTTACTCATTTTAATTTTCTTTCTAATTCCTCTCTCTCTCTCTCTCTTTCTCTCTCTCTCCTATTTATACCCTATTCAACTCTTTGTTTTTTCTTTCTCCACTTCTCTCACCTAAACCTATATTCTTCTTTTTCTCTCTCTGTGACTTCTCCCTTTCACCCATTAACCACTTTCTCGTTTTACTCTTCTTCTCTTTCTTCGCTTTTGTCCATCTTCTCTATTCTTTCTCTCTTTCTGTTTCTCTTCTCTGTACCGTATTCCCCTGCTCTTTCTCTTCCTCACTCTCTATATTTCTATTACCTTTCGACCCCCGACTTTAACCCCCCCACACACACACACTTTTTTACACTCTCTCTAATATGTCCCCTTTTTCTGCATGCCTGACCTTATTTGCATCATCTTCCGATGTGTTTCGTTTACCCAACATTCCGACGTTTAAACCAGTCTGTCATTCAGACTTTTAATCTACCCTTTGAACCATTCAGTTCGTAATTCGAGACAAGTCCGGGGGCCGGACCCTGGGAATCTAGGTTAAGACACTGTTGGGTATAAAACTCGAACAGAGCCATCTGAGACGTTCAGATCCAATTTTGGTCGACCAACGATAACCTTGGATATAGACAAATAAATATGTTGTGCATTATACCACATGGATAAGGCAGGTTGACCGCCCCTCGAGGCTAGTGATTTTTTTATGGGGGGGGGTATTTTTTTTTTTGTATTTTTATTGTCGATTTTTAGCTTTCCTTTCCCCATGAGATCTAAACTACCACAACAGTAAAAATAAAATATACAAAATTATTACAATAAAATTAACCAAATTTTATTCTACATATTTTCTACATAATTATCACATTTATTTTAAGCCAATATTTCGGCTGATACATTCTTCAACCTTACAAAATTATTACAATAAAATTAATGCAGTCTTATTCTATATATTTACCAGATTTATCATGTTTTTTTTTGTTTTTGTTTTTTTGGGGGTTTTTTTTTTTTTGTAAACCAATATTTCAGCCGACAGATTCTTCTACCTTATAACATCGTAATTATTAAGGATAATGGATAGCGGCTCGGATTGAGGAATCGGAGACCCGAGTTCGAATTCCTGTTGAATTCATTTGGGGAAGGTATGAAACTTATTCTCCTCCCCATCTATTGGTATAGGAAGAGAAACCGGGTTCGATAGCCTTGGATAGCAACTGATCTACCGCAAAATGAAATGGCAACCTACTGCGGGAAAAAATCTGCCTCGTCAACCATGTATCGAAAGGTACATGATCGCCTAAGCGTGTATCACGCATGCCACATAATTGACTTAGGAGGCACAGTTGATTGAAGAATCCATTTGAATCGATTGCATTCACTTACGTGCTTATACCCTTAGGAAAGGTATGAATCCTCTTCTCCCCCCCCTCAGCTATGAGTAAATAACAGGACAGACCGAGTTCTATAGCCTTGTATGGCAACTGGTCTACCGCAAAAAGAAATGGCAACCTACTGCTAGAAAAAAATCTGCCTCTTCAGTCATGTATCGAAAGATACATGATCGCCTAAGCGTGTATCACGCATGGCACATAACTGAGTGAATTATGTTCTGAATCATATATATTTTGGGGCATATAATCTCTGACCATTGTAAATTAACTTTACTGTATGAAAAAATAATTTTGCGTTAATATTTTTTTTCAAACTTCATACTGATTTTTGAATTTTTAAATTTTCTTTCATATTCTCATATAATTTTCAAAAAAAATCTCTATTTCCCTTCCATTCTATATTCCTTTGATATTTATTTAACTTTTACACATTATACTTGTTTAATAACAGCAGCAAACATAAAATAAAAATTACATTAATATTTAAAAAAGCCTATAATTTTCATAGGTTTTTTTGTAAACTTATGTTTCCGCAGGTAAATTCTTCCAGTTGTCATTTATATGACTTGTCCCTTCAGGCGATCAAGGCTCTCGACATCTTCCTGTCACCTGTAACTCTTAATAAGAATTGTCTTTTTGTTATTTCACCCAAACCCTGTTTTGACATCCATTTAATTAAGCCCATCAAGTATGTTACACGCTGCTTTTCTCTGTTGTACTTTCCCGCCATCTGTCCCGTGAGTATCAAATTTTCCAAGCTCTCCTTCCTTATTACGTGCCTCAGAAACATCAACTGCCTCTTCCTGATGTTAAGGTTAAGTTTCCTCTTTGTTTCAATTCTCTCCAAAACCTCGCCATTCTTCACATGTTTGGTTCATGGTATCCTCAGCATCCTTCTGTAGAAACTTCAATTTTCTCTTCCAGATGTTATGTATAAGTTTTCTATTTCATTCCATTTTCTCTAAAACCTCATCGTTGCTCACATGTTCTATCCATGGTATCCTCAGCATCCTTCTGTAGAAATTTCAACTGCCTCTTCCTGATGTTAGGTATAAGTATCCTTTTTGATTTCATTTTCTCTAAAACCTCATCGTTGCTCACATGTTCGGTCCATGGTATCCTCAGCATCCTTCTGTAGAATTTTCAACTGTCTCTTCTTGATGTTAAGTATAAGTTTCCTTTCTGTTTCAGTTTTCTCTAAAACCTCCTCGTTGCTCACATATTCAGTCCATGGTATCCTCAGCATCCTTCTGTAGAATTTTCAACTCTCTCTTCCTGATGTTAGGTATAAGTTTCCTTTCTGTTTCCATTTTCTCTAAAACCTCATCGTTGCTCACATGTTCGGTCCATGGTATCTTCAGCATCCTTCTGTAGAAACTTCAACTCTCTCTTCCTGTTGTTAGGTATAAGTTTCCTTTTTGTTTCCATTTTATCTAAAACCTCATCGTTGCTCACATGCTTGTCCCATGTATCTGCCACCTTACAATGTTTTAAGACATGTAAGACGGTGTCGTTAATGGAGAGATAACCATATACATTTGTCCGTCTATATTTTCGAACCTTTATAATAATCTTTATTGTATGAAAAATAATTTTTCGGTTGATAAAATTCTTGAGCCTTCATGTTATTTAAATTTGTGTTATTTTTTCCATTTATTGTTTTCAGACAACCGTCTCTATCTCGGTTCTTTTTTAACTCACTGTATATAGATTGAACTTTTACCCATTCTACCTGAACGATCACAGTCGTAAATTTAAATCCAAAAAATTCATTAATTGAAATTTAATTAATCCTTGTCTATATTTACATGAAGTTTGTGGAACTTCGTTGCCTTAGTGAGTGGTCTTCCTTTATCCATGCGTTTTTGTTTTTTTTTATTCTGTTTATTTCCTTTTCAAAAACTCCTACAGATGGCAAGGAAGGAAAGCGAGAAGAATGTACAAACATCAAATGCAAGAAGTCATAATGAAAGACTCTTAGCAAAAGGATTATCTCCCTTTGGTATTTTTTTTTTATTTCATCATAAATTCAGGTTACATTAAATGACCCATTGAGGTTGATATGCCGTAAAACAAAACAAACCAAACCAAATCATTATGTCGTTCTATACAATTTTTCAGAATCTATCACATTTAAAAGTCTCCCATTTGTCCTTGCTTTGAATATTGCAGTCACATCTGGTTTGGTGCTCCTGGTATATATTCAGAGACCCGTGAGAAAATTGAAATACGTATCTGAAATGTTATTGGTCCTGACCTGGCATCTCGGCTTCAGTCCCTTTCCTGTCACCGTAACGTAGCTTCCTTATGTCTTTACTTTCATAGTAATTGTTCTGATGAATTTTTCATTATGGTACATAGACTTTCTGAATTTAAGCGCAGTACTAGACTGGCGGCGAGGTCTCATCAATTTACAGGTGAAATGGCATGATGTAAGCGTAACTTCTATATTAACATTTTTTTTTCTATCGCACTTCTCGCTTGTGGAATTATCCTCCGACTTCTTGTTTCCCAATCAACTTTGATCTTCAAAATTTAAATGTAATGGCAATCGTTATTTTTTCTCTTCTTAATTCTTGTTCTTTTATTACCTTCTCTCATTAATAGTAGTTTTTCTAATATTCTCTAACACTCAGTGACCTCTTGAACCGCAGTGGCTTTATTGCCTTACTTGGGAGTGGAATGATTAAAAAATAATATGCCTCCAGACATGATTGACATTCATTTTTTTTTAGGAGAAATGAGTGAGTGATATAAGTGTATCCTATTCTGATTCTTAGTAGAAAGACTTCTTTCTTCCGATAATATTTGAGACCTTTGAGGCCATTCTCATAAAAGAAAGTTTGTCGTCTGCCTGAGAGTTCTGCAACGCTTGTCATTTGTTTAGAATGTATGAATTTATAGTTGCATTGGGATCAGTATATAAGGATTTTCAAATACGGAATGTTTATTTTTTTTAGGGATTTTTTTGCTGCCATGTCATCGTTTCCTTTTCAGTGGATGCTAATATGGCTAGGTACCCAACAGAAGACATTTTCTTTGTCTTCCAGATGTCACTGATCCTGTTCTGTAATTTGTGTTTATTTTTCTCAGTGATGTGTAAATATGGATAGTGGATCAGAGAAAACAATAAAATTATCTGACTGTTATATCAAAACCTAAGTCTATGGTTATAGCTTCAACACTAAAAACACAAGATTTGTTAGATAGAAGAGTTTGATTATTATATCATCAAGAATGGTTGAACATACAACTTAAAAAAAAAACGATTATAAAAAATTCAGTAACTTAACAGATTGATTCTAACAGTTTTTAATTGCCGCTCCTTGTCGTGCAGGGGCATGTGTTGTCCAATGATTCTGAGAGCGATGCCGACGGGAATTTTAAATTCTTGTTAGGGCCACCATTGATGACGAAGACCCAGAGTAATCATGACCACTCCCAAAGCCTCCAACGGTTAAATCAGTGGATGAAGAGGGCTATGCATGACATATAAGATACAAAAGGCGCCACAGGATATTATAACAGTCAGCAGCAGTTCGTTGCAGTTTCATAACTGCATTCTGCATATTTTAATCCATATGTACTGGATAAAAAGCCATAAAATCAGATGTTTCGGTCACTTCCTGACAGGTTAAGGTCCACTTTAATCAAAATGACGCCATCAGCACATTCTTCTACTCTGATTTTCTTCCACCTTCAACCAACTCTTGCAAAGCCAAACGACGATAGGAAATAGATAACGGAAGCATGTATTGGTGAAACTGGAAACATCTCGTCCTGAACCTGAACGTTGGCAGTGAATTTAGTCATCAACGTCATCATCATAAAGGAAGCGATCAGAAGAAATTAAATTCTTGGATACGAGATAAAAGCCGAAGACGATTAGAATATCAATAATAAAACGGAATAATGGTCTATAGATGTCGAAATGAAAGAAACTTTGAACTAAATCTGCCATCGTACTAAGTACAAACCCTTCCACCACGACAATCATTTGCCGTTTCATAACTGAATACTGTATGTGTCATTCTGTATGTGCCGTAGAGGAATGTCATAAAATCAAGTGTTTTGATCAATTCGCGTCAGGTTGAGGTACGCCTTAAATAATTCACGCCATCGACACTTTCTTCTATTCGGATTTTCAATCACCTCCAACCAACTTTTGCAAAGCCAAACGGCGATAGTGAATGGATGATGGGAGCAGGTTTTGGTGAAACTGAAAGCTTCTCGTCTTGAACCTGTAAGTTAATGGCGAATTTAGTCATCAACGCCATCATCATAAAGGAAGTGATCAAAAAAGAAATTAAATTCTTGGATTCGAAATAAAAGCCGACGACAAAATAGCAGTTTTTTTTATTATTATCCGTTTACTGTCATATATTTTTTGCTTTTACAATGATATTCACTTCGGATTGTACACGGCCCAAGAGCAACTCGAGACAGAGTAAGCGGCACAGATTATGGAGATAAGTGGAGAAGATTACAGTTACCTCTTGACTTGAAGAGTTTAAGATTGTAGTGATTTGGAGAAGTTTTCTATTGGGATTCAGTACCGTAAAGGATCGAGATATTCGGTAAAGACTGTAGAGAGATTCCCTGTTTTCTTTCACTTAGACTTGTTACCTCGTAATACTATAGTCTAGTCCACCCTCATATTTAGGGAAATGAAAACGTGGAATTTTAAAGATTCATAAATATAGTTGTCAGCAAAAAAGGACAGACCAACAAACAAATGACAAATAGGAGACACCAAAATCAAGCAAGTACAAAAATGTAAATATCTACGAAGACGGAAAGTGCGACCCCGAAATTCAAAGATGAAGCCAATAGTCCGAACATTGTAAATAGTGTTAATAAATACATATTTATAGTAAAATTACAAATAATTCATACTTATGGTAAAATTAGCAACAATTCATATTCAAAGAAAAATGACCAAAATACGTATTTACAGAAACACTACAAACAATTCATATTTATAGTATAATTACCAACTATTCATGTTTATAGTAAAAGTACTAAGTAATCATATTTATAGTAAAAGTACCAACAATACGCATTTACATTAAAAGTACCAACAATTCATATCTATTTTATAAGTACCAACAATTCATATTTATAGTAAAAATACCAACGATACAGGTAGGAAATACGCGAAAAGAATCTCTTGGGGTAGAAGTAGCTGTTGTATTTTGGTATTTCGTGATAAACGTGTGGGACCTAACTGCCAATGTAGTATCATGCTTAAATTCATGTGGTCAGGACAACAAGGGAAAGTATCTCGGCAGAGAAGTTGCCATGAAATATTTGTAGGAAAGACAGAGGAAAACCACCTCACGTCGGTGAGAAAGTGACTGATGGCTGGTCAGGATCGATTATATTGCAAATCCTTCCTTGGATTTTGTTAAGAATCTAGAGATACACAGCAGTATTCAATACAAGAAACAATGGTAGATTTGTAAACATTCAAGATGGATTCTGATGAGAAAAACATTTCTTTTCGCGATACCCAGCTTTTCTTGCAATAGATGCAGCTATTGTATAACCTACCTAACGAGCTTGTGTAAATGGTTGATAGAACAGCTACAAATGACAGGAAGTTGTGGAGAGCCATGTCTACGACATACTAAAAGGACAAGGTACATAGAAGAAGAAGAAGAACGAGCATGTGTAAATGGTTGACAGAACAGGGATTAGGAGAGATAGCAAATAGACAAAATTTACTAAGAGCTACAAAAGACGGGAAGTTGTGGAGAGCCATGTCTACTACGTCCAGAAAGGACACGGTACATAGAAGAAGAACGAGCTTGTGTAAATGGTTGGCACAACAGGGATTAGGAGAGATACCAAAAAATAAATAAATAAAATTTTACTAAGAGCTACAAAGAACAGGAAGTTGTGGAGACCCATGATCACCTACGTCCTAAAAGGATACGGCACATAAAAGATGTTAACCGTATTGTGAATACGTGCATTTAGTGTACAGGTCAAGTATTGGACTATTATAGTGCGCAGTAAAGAGACATTGCTTCGAGCAAGGGAAGACCGGAAGTTGTGGAGACCCATGATCACCTATGTCCTAAAAGGATACGACACATAGAAGATATTAACCGTATTGTGAATACGTGCATTTAGTGCGCAAGTCGACTATTGGACTATAAAAATGGATAGTAAAGAGACATTGCTTCGAGCAAGGGAAGAGCGGAAGTTGTGGAGACCCATGATACACGACCCCTTAAAGGAAGAACTGACCTATAATTGTACTGTTTATAGTACTAGACTAAAAACTTAGTCCAGCTTTCTCCTATTTATTGCATTCTAACTCCTCATCCTCCTTATCGACATCATCTTCTCTACCGACAATTCCCTTTTTCAGCTTACAGCCACATCACGTTGAAACCCCCGTTCCTGTACGATCAACAAAGTTAAGCAACGTCGAACCTGGTTTGTACCCAGATACCTGGGAATACCAGGTGCTGTAACACTAGATGTGTGAGTGGTGTAATGGATAATGGCTCGGAATTGTTAATCGGAGAGGTGAGTTCGAATTCAAGTTGGGTTCATTAGATTCACTTACGCGCAAATACCCTTGGAGATGGTATGAATCCATTTCTTCTCCCCCAGCAATAGGTTAATTAGTAAGACTTGCATCACTAAAGCAGTTATCATCTCGAAAGAATAAATTAACTAAAAATAAAACTGCATACAGATATTTAAAATTTGATATTAACACAAAGAAGATGATATGCCGATGAAAAAAAAAACAATTAACAAACTCTTCCTTCATATAACTTACCTCAGACATCATTAGCGTTTTAACTGTAATACCCTAGCTTGAGTGTCTCTCGAGCCTTTAATATAAAGCGCTGAGTAAATTTTTAAAGATTTTTCTAAACATTTCGCAAATGATGGTTATGTGAAATTTTACATCCATCCATCATCATCATTATTATCACTATTATTATTATTGTTGTTATTGTTGTTGTTGTTGTTATAGCATGACCGCAGGGACAAGCTCCTGTATCACTACCCACAGATGTTACCCTTTATATGCGACTCACTGAAGTCAACGAATTTCATTCTTTGGGCGGTACTGTTTGCTTTCTCTTTTCATCATTTTTTTTTCCTTCGACCCTACAACGTGTCTACCTCATTCGGTTTGTCCTCAAAAGACCCCCAGACCCAAAACATAACCCCTACCCCTACCCTTAAAGTTTTCTAGTCTCCAACCCGCTCATATCTGACACAAGACCACCGCGCACATAAACACTGCTCACGTAAATATATAAAACGTACATACACACACACACAAACACACACACACACATATATATATATATATGGTACATACATATATATATATATATGGTATATATATATATATATATATATATATATATATATATATATATATATATATATATATGTACCAGGTGTAACATCAAAATTGCCTAAATCGTGTAAAATCAAAATTGACCATTTGTTAGATCAAGCTTAGAACTATTGTAACTTAGAAAAGATTAGATACCTTACTGGAATTCTATTTTGAGCAATAAGAATGTATAATTACTCTCCAAGCTTAATAGAAGAATCGTGATGAAATCGATCATAAACGAAAATGACATGTTCATCAATAATAGCTATGGCTCGGAAGGTCATGATGGATTGAAATTAAATTCATATATATATATATATTATTCAAGTCAAGGATCATTTGCCAACATGATGATGTTAGCTCTCTCTAACCTCCTAACTTTCTGTCCTGGAGTAACAATTTGTCTCACAGTTTTCGCGTACGGTTTCATTTTCAAGTCTTTTTTCGCTTCTCTTTGGACTGTCATAACTAAAAGTTCTTTCCCACGTGGCAAACGTCTTATAGATTGAGTTGGATCTTTTCTAATTGATCTCTTTAGCTCTAAGTTGAAATGATGATCCCTCTTCCTATTTTGACCTCCTGATACATTTTCCTCTCTAATTCTGAACAAATATCCTTTAATTTTTTGACAACGCTTATAAAATTAACCCTAACCATAAAACTTACCTTGACCCTAAAACTAAATTATATATATATATATATATATATATATATATATATATATATATATATATATATATATATATATATATATATATATATATATTAAGCATTCCACCCCAAGCAAGGCGGGAAGCCACTAGCACGCAAAGAGTTACAGAGAGTGTGAGTAAAGAGTAAAGAGGAGTGATAGAGGAAAGGATGAAGAGGAGGATAGGGGATAGATCAGGGCATCTGAAGACGTCGATTGACGTTACATTTGAATAGTTGGAGATTATAGTTATCAGGAAAACAAGAATTGGGGAGAGAGTTCCACAGGCGAGAAGTGCGAGATATGAAGCTATTGGAGTAGAAGAGACGGCCACATTTAACAGTCTCGACAGTGAAAGGATGAGACCGGGATGCCAGCCTCGTAGGGTGCTTGAATTCATGAAGTCTGGGAACCAGTGAAAGCAGCTCATCGGAACAGTTACCATGAAATTATTTGTAAAAAAAGACAGAGAGAGGCGACGGCGCGTCTGTGAGAAAGCGACTGTAGACGAGATGCCAGAACAGGGCCAATTATATTGCATATCCGCCTCTGGAGCTTATCAAGAACCCCGAGGCAAACAGAAGGGGCCCCAGACCATATATGGCAGCAATACGCCATTACTTAGCTGATGCCATTTACCTCTGAGTTAGGGGATTCCTCCAGTGTGCACTTAACCCTGTCGATTGCCCCATTGTATAGTTCTACTATAGTCCTTAAATCTAATCCTTTATCAAGTTCGGTAGGTAAACCCCGTTTCATGATAAGCAAAAATCTTCAAGAAATTCATTAAAACCAAATACAATATGAGTACCTCTACATGCGGATAATTGTTCCCATCTTTGTTGTTGTTATCACAAAGTTTCAGTCGTTATGCCCTCTGGCCTTCATCAGGTGTATCCTGATCCGGGTAACCTATAGGAAATTACGAACTGAACTCTTTATTTAATCTACTGGACTCAGTTATTGCTCACCCTACTTCCAAGTACACACTACCCGGCTCAGGGATTGAACTCACTATTACTGTGTTAGCAAATTCACAAATCAAGACTTTAATCTGCTAGGCTATATTCCCGAAACGTTAAGGGCAGTCGTCCGTATTTCAATAGTGGTAAGCAGTGTTTCCCAAACAATTTTGGGCCATGCCTCGATTTGGTATTTCTAAAATTCACCAGTTTTTCCCATGCAAGGGAGACAACTTATGTATTTCTTTATTTTATTATTATTATTATTCAGATATATATATATATATATATGTGTGTGTGTGTGTGTGTGTGTGTGTGTGTGTGTGTGTGTGTGTGTGTTTGCATTTATGTATGTTTATATAACTTTGCTGTTACAAACATTTAAGAACAAAATAATTTAATATCTGAATATTTGTATCATTTTATGCTAATTTTCTTTCTCTGTACACATACTTTGTATACGGCTCTTCCTAAATCCTTTACTGTTATCAAATCATGTGTGTGTGGATAGTACTGGCTGCTCGGTCCATTGGACGAAAACGTTAGGAGAGTCCAGTTTCATTTTTTACATATATCGCTATTTCCATGGCAAATATTCTGACGAGCTGCAAATCTTTAGTTTCCACCTGTTAATACATTTATAACTGAAACAAGTTGTGTTATGTCCGCAATTTCGAATGACCATCATTCCTTTTTCATTCTTTTCTTCAAGAAGGAAGTTCCATCCATAGAGATTCTTCACTTTGTGGAAGAGACTGCCGGCTCTATACCTTCCCTGAAAACCACAATCCTAACGCCTTGAAGACACCGTGCAGTCATTATCTCTCTGTTACTTCTTACCACAGAATAATGGATAGCAGCTCGCATTGAGTTCGATTTCCAGTCGAATTACTTTACATTCACCTACGTGCAAATACCCTTGGAAAAGGCATGAATCCATCTCTATCCCCTACAGCTACAGGTAAAAATAACAAGCCAGATTGATTTCTATAGCCTTGGTTGAAAACCGGTTCATGAGAATGAAGAACCTGAGGTGAGTGGTTTGGTGACCTTGTGGCACACTTTATGCAACAGTATTTGGCTCTTGCAAAAAGTCTGCTTGGTTCTATACTAGTCTTCACCCCTATAATCAAATCATATGTGTGAATAGCAGTGGCTGTTCGGTTCTAAGAACTAAATTGCTGTACCCTCATACGTCGAAAACGACGGTAGAGTTCAGAATATGCACCCTTGGGCAAATTAATTGAAACAAAAGGAGTAATTACATTATTAGTTACTTTTTTATTCGTGTTTTTCCAATGAAACATGACTGAATGCAGATGTTAGTACTTCGTATGTGCATTCCACGAAGCCTTTCCTTGCAGATTGACCACAGATTCTCGATTGGATTTAAATCAGGAGAGTTTCCGAGCCAGTCTATAGTACTTTGATTTGCTCACTGGTGTGTTCGTGCAGTCTTACAATTTCCGTACGCTTCCTTGAAGTAACATCCATCGCAGACAATGGCCGTAGGGCAACTAATCGACAGTCGAGACAATATTGTCTGGGGGTGATAAAAATCTGATGCAATCATGGATAACGCAATATTTTTCAATGCCGACCAAATTTCATCATACACCGCGAAAATAGATTCATATGACTGCACACCACTGCAAATGACCTAATCTTAGGAAAAAATAGGAATCGATTACACCCTATCAATCCAGTAGGTCTAAAACTGACCGTATGGTGATATAAATAAAACTAAAGCGGTTGTTTTAATTAATTTGCACAAGGGTGTATGTATATATATATATATATATATATATATATATATATATATATATATATATGTGTGTGTGTGTGTGTGTATTTAATGTCTAAATAATAAAAATATCTGACTGTATTAAAAGGTTACCTTGTATGAATTTAAAATAGACCACTTTATGTGAGAAAGCGTTTAAACAAAACATGGCGGTTTAAAATTAATCAATTTATTTTTTTAGAAATTGCTTTGTCTCTGTTTCACACACGAAACTGAGCAATTATCATACGGTTCATACTTCCCTAATTTTTTGAACAGGAGTAGAGGGTTTATCCCTTATTTTCTGTTGCGGATTCGTTTACGATTAAATCAACTCTGCATTTCTTGCGTCTTGGTCTGATCTCTGACATTTTATATGAGTCCATCTCTACTCCCTCCGGCTATGAGTAAATAGCAGATCAGACTCGAGTCCGATAGCTTTGGCTGGCAACCGGTTCATGAGAATTAAAAACCTGAGGTGGGTGGTTTCGTGACCTTGTGGCACACTATATGCAACAGTATTTGGCTCTTGCAAAAAGTTCGTTTGGGTTGACACAAGTCTTCACTACCATAATCAATGTATGGTTAATACTGGTGATTCGGATCTAAGAACTGACTCGAAAATGACTGGAGAGTTCTTCGTCTTTGCTCCCATTTAAATTTGCCTAAAGACTTGACAATTTATTATATAGCTGATAAATCATTTTATGTACATCTTGGGTGTCAGTCGACTGAAGTTTATTCCTCATAATAAAAAGAAAAATATACAAAAAAAAGGCTATAATTGTCAACAGTTTAAATACGTTTTCACAAATTTCTCACTACAAAAATCCCCTTCTCTTCCTATAAAAGGAGAGTCGTAGAATCTTAAGTACAGATCGCCAAAGGCCAAATGTCTATCATTATTAGACCATTTTATCTTGAAACGCGAAAACTTCAATAAAATATTTATGAGCCCCATTCATTTTTCAGGTCAATTCGAAATGAACAGCCAATTTTTTTTTTCTTTTTCGAGTGAAAAAAATCATGTTTAAATTTACGACTTCAACGATTTCAACCAAGCGAAAATATTATCTACAATGAGGTCACCAACCTTACAAAAAGATTGACCCCAAAATATTTTTGCGAGTTCATTTATTGTAATTTTCTCCTCATTAACATGTTATATTTTTATTTCAACCTCCACTGGGTGCTTATTTAACTCGGAATTAGTTTTTATTACACTTAAAAATAGCTTTGTTCGCCAACTATTCCACCACATTTTTCAGCGGGAATGTATGTCCAACAGCTAAAAACTCAACATATTTTCCGTCCTGGGTATGACGATAAACTACATCCGCGTTCTG